TAATATATTTTCTTTCTCTCCAACAATTTATAGGTATATACTTTTTGTGTGTTGCAATAAAGAATTAATAAATAAGTAATTACTTTGCTTAAATGAGCAATTACAGTAATATCTTGTGGTGTAAAAGAAATATGGATAAAACTTTCTATTCATATACAATATATTAATTTTGATATCGCGAAAATGTATCTGTTCTACCCTGTTATCAACTTATTCTCTTTAGACATTAAGTACTAATATGGAAATCTGATGAGTTTGTTTGTTCAAATGCGCTAATCTCAGGAACTACTGATTTGTATTGAAAAATTATTTTTGTGTTAGGAAGACTCCCGCTACGGCTAATAGGAGCAAGAAACAGCGGGAAATGTTTTTAGAATTAACCGACGTCGACTTAAATTTATTAAAAATAAGGAGGAGGTTTGCAAAAACAAATTTGGATGCCCAAAATAACTATTCTACGCGGGCGAAGTCGCTGACACAGCTACTACCTATAAACTTAATGACAACAAACATATTTCTGTTATACTAGTTAAATATTGTTTCCAATTTCAGATGCTTCTAAAATGTTCAATTGGTCGCTTCTTAGAAAAACAATTGTTGAGGACGGATAGGCCGGACCTATCTCTCTTTACAATGGAAAAATACGAAGCCATAACAAAATACAAGACTTCGTACTACACATTCCAAATGCCAGTTGGTTTGGCGTTATTGATGTCGGGAGTAGACGACCCGGAGACACATAGACAGGCGAAGACTATTTTACTAGAAATGGGGGAATTTTTCCAAATTCAAGTACGTAAAATAAATAAACAAGACATTATATTATGTAGTCTAACATACAATAATACACTTTTAACGGTTTAAAATGCGAAGTACATTATTTCACTTATTGGCATCCGAAATGACGGGTCGCAATTAAAAATATGTTGTATCCTAATATATCTCAAGTTTTAAACTGTTATAAGCTTTGTATTGTACTTTTTAGTTAGTTTAACATTTAAAAGTGTTTACACCCATTTCCCAGTCGCCTTGGTAACGGATTTACATTTATTTTATTGATTTTTTCATTTTACATTATGTAAAAAAAAATCAAGCAGATGCGACGCCAATCCACGATGGATGGCGCTATCACTTTTATGTCCATCAAAACTAGAGTTATTTTTTTAATAAGCTATCACGTCCTACAACATTTTCAATCAAAAGTGTTTATATCCAAGAGTAGATATGAAAATCCTTCTAGTGTGCAATTAATTATGAAAAATGCAATTAACGATAACACTGATTGTACTGATATAGTATTTAAGGCAATCAATAATAATGGACATTAACCCCTAAGTATCATGTTCAATGTTTAACTTTATAATCTAGACTTATTATTATTTCCTTGAGATTTATTTAATGCGACATTAACTAATGATTTCACATAATTGCCCACTTCTTCTCTGTAGAGGGCGTTGGCGTTGACCTCTCAAGACTCAGTTAATTCACTGTTGTATCTTGAGGGTTGACCTAAGAATCGTAAAAACAGTCATATAGAATGAAAAAATCTTTTGATTTATTTTAATCATTTGTATACAACGTAAAAGTATGAACATTTGAATATATAGGTCATAGGTTCGCTATAAACATGTCCTCTTCTTTCTTATGATAGAGGAAGCATCACTTGATGGTAGGGGTATTTCCCCAGAAAATATAACAACCAAAAAAAAATGCACTGTCGGCCGTAATTTCGAATTTTGGATATTCGGAAACCCACAGACTGAAACCGAGACGCATATAAACTTGGGGGTTTTTTCTTCCCGGGGGGGTTTTTTTGGCCCGGGGGGGATTTCGAAATTTCTTCCCGGGGGGGGGGGCGCCCCCCCCCCCCGGATTATCCAATTGTTAAACCAAGAGTTCTAAGATTTCCCCGATATATTTAATAGGAATAATTTCATTGATAAATAATTTTTCAGGACGATTTCCTAGACTGCTTCGGAGATCCAGCTGTAATGGGCAGGAATGGATCAGACATCCAAGAAGGCAAATGCACATGGCTAGCAGTTGTCGCGCTACAAAGGGCATCTCCAGAACAAAAGGAACTCATGGAAAACTACTACGGCAGTTGTAAACCAGAGGACGTGAACAGAATCAAAGATCTGTATGAAGAGTTGCAACTACCGCACACATATTCCGTTTACGAAGAAGCCACTTATGATCTCATTAGAACACAAATCCAACAAGTCACGAGGGGCCTTCCCCATGATTTGTTCTTCAAAATTCTCGACAATATCTTTAGGCAACGTGTGTAAATATCTATTAGTAGATTTATGAGTATGATTATTATTTTATTTACTTGTTATAATTAGGTATACTTTATGGCACGAGAATAGACTATTGTAATAATTATGAGATTCATGTGCGTTTATTACCATTTTTAAAGTTTTATATTGTGAACTTAATAAAATGAATTGATTTAAACTGTTTTTTTTTTCTTTTACATGCTGGACAATTTTAACATTATTTTGACAACCGATATAAATCGAACTTGCTGTGAAAATCCATATCTGTCGTGTTTAGTGGCAAAATAAATTACTATGTAAACTCATACATGTCGTGTAATTTAAAACGGAGCCATCTTCGACTCCGGAACATGGCGACGGAGTAGGTTCATTATCAAAAGTTTAATTTAACATGCTGGCTGGAACATAGAATGCTGTTTAGTGAAGAAAAAAAATTATTATTAGTTGATCGTCAACTTCGCCATTTGTTTTAAAGTTGTGAATAGTAATAATTAATTTTAATTTTCATGCATTATTATATTATTGAGAAAAGTAGGCTTAGTTTGTCCATCAATACGTCTATTGCCGGCCGCTGTTACTATTAACACTCATTTAAGTTAGTCGAAAATAATTCAGACTGAATTGGACAACTAAACAAACATGCCAAAGTTACGCGTGAAATTTTGCTACTTTCTATGTAAAAAAATAATCTTTGCCGTTGAAATTAAACTTTTTATCGATATATTTACCACTACAATACCTACTTATAAAGGAATTTTACATTGTTGATATTTATAAAAAGAACGTCATCATTACTGAGAATAATAGTGGTTATTAATTTTGTTTGACTGCTGAAAGATCTATTTTAAAGAAGAAAGAAGAACAGACTAATAAGTGGTAGATAAATATAATATAGTAGATTAAGTATAATGTACGGCATTATCTGTTGACTGTAGAATTGGCAAGGTGAGAGGTTTACGTCTGTGGAATTTACAGATAACCAATGTACTCTGTTAACTGATAAATGTTACCAGACTTAGTGAAAATTCCCTTAAATTTAAGTGTTTTCGAAGAAAACAGTATGTAATTGGCAATTTCTACTGCATTATTACAGTCGCAAATTATCTCTACAGTAATAAAAAACAAGGTTAAAACAAAGGTATTGAAGTTCTCCTTCTCATTTTTAAAAGAAAAAAAAAACTATTTATTCTAGAAACTTAAAAAACATTTGTGGAAAAATAAATATTATAGATGGACAACACTGTTGTTTCAACACTTCAATGTCAATGTCTATGGTGATGAACGGTACAAATACATTTGCGTGTCGACCTATGATAACAATATTCATCTCCTACACAATTGTACAGTTGCTGTTCAAAGTCATGAACTGAATTTCATAAATTAATAAAATAAAAAACAGTAAAAAATATTGTATTAATCCAATATTATTTGTTTGCGTGTTTTACAATTAAATTTTTGTTCTATTGTTGATTGTTTATTAGAAAGAATTTGATCAGTGAAAGTAGTTGGCGCGTAGCATTTTCTAAAAATGAATTCGTGTACAAAAGTGTGGAAATTGTTGAGTGGAGTCTCTGGTACATTTTCAAAACCAGTTTCTATCGGAGCCAAGTAAGTATTTTTAGTTCGTAAACATCCTGTTCTTACAATGAGATACTATCAATACAAAATCTGCTTTTAATGTTGAAATGTTTACAATAATCCCAAAAAAGAATCTAAGTGCATATTTGAATATTTTATGTTAAATTCTTTTCAATTTTTCACCTTTGTTGACCTTCATCAGATAAATGATCTATTCATTCTTATTGAAATAACATTGCTTATTAAAGCCTTAGTGATACAACAGCTCCTTAAAGAACATGACGGCATTACATTCAATTTGTAAAATAAATAATATTAAATTTCTATACAGTGGATACATAAGGTAATACACAATAAATGTTATTATGCATTGAATATCTCTTATAATAATATTTCTTACAGATTCCCACAAATAAAATTATGCAGTAGAATGAGTACCAATGCTTCAATACCAGAACATAAACGAGACATAGAGACATTCCAAGATGTTTACCCTGGTATTATAGAGACTTTGAGCAGAAATCCAGGTCTATATGAAAACCGGGATGTTGCGAGCTGGTTAAACAAGGTTAATAATTCAGTTCTAGGACTCTGACTTATAAAACTAAAATTTTCATTCCTGGTATAAATTAAAATAATAGTATTTAAATTGAATCACATTTAAGAACTAGTGAGTGTAAAGGACCTACCTAGCTTTTATGTTGCTGCATGAATATAATTTAAAATGAAGAAAAATCATTTATTTAAGTAAATCTCTATCATTTTTCTTTTTAAATGATGAAATAATGAAAGTTTGCATAAAACAATGGCAAAAATGTGTGAATAAAACTTAATTGGTTTCAAAAAAGCCAAAAAATAAGTAATTAAGAGTACATTAATTATTTAAAGTAGCAATTGTTTAGCATTCTTTATCTTTGACATAAATCCTAAAATATTATATTTCATAAAATTAAATTAAGGACAATGTATATGATTTTTTGCAGGTCTTGGATTATAATTTACACGGTGGAAAAAAGGCTCGGGCGTTAGCTACGATTTTCGCTTATGAAACCTTAGAGAGACCAGAAAATATTACACATGAAGCACTCCGTTTAATAAGAGTATTAGGGTGGTGTGTGGAAATGGTGAGTGACATGGGTTTTATTTTAAGTTGTATTAATAAAATATATAAAAAATAATAAAATAGCGTAATATAAAGAAATATATCTTCTTGAGTTGTAGGTAATCAAGGTAAAATATATAAATAATTACATGTTACAACAGAACACTTATAACATGTACTCCTATAACAATGTATGCCTGATAATCAATGAGTTGTGATTTTGACCCCCACTTGATCCAACATTTTTCAATTAAAAACATAGTTTTGTTCTGAAACATTTTGGACGTAGTCTGTAAATCTGGATATAATTCCTACATTTTCAAAAATTATACAATGTTTAGCTTGGAGTTTTGAAAATGCAATCTGGGTATCCCATTTTTTGCAGAAGTTTGTAACAACAAACTGTATTTTAAACTATTTCCTTAGAGCCCAGGTTATTTTTTGGAATTTCTGTCTGCAGCTTATAGTTTTGTTCCCCAGTTTTCATTTGATCCATGGATTCCATTGAATATGCTTACATAAAAAGTTTTTACCAGAAATAGTCAGTATGATTTTAAAAATATTGTCTACCCTTTTTGAATAGGAAAATACGAGCCAACATTTAGTTTATCAGTATTAAAGCCAAATTCATTCTCCTGGAAGGTCCGACATAAAATACTTCAAGTCTCTTGTGTCTTGGACTCCAAGGAGTCTTCGTGGACCACTTTGTTAATTCCTTGATTTACAGACTTTACAAATAATAATATATTTCTGTATATTTTAAATACTCAGTACCATGGTGTACCTAATAGGATTTTTGCTATAAAGGTTCGTGTTATTCTGTTGTATACTGAATATGATCTTATCGCTACTTGTAGACTGTTTGCATTTTATTTACTCGTTAAACTCCGAAGACAGCTAAGTTATTTAGAGTTGCAGTTACTTGGTAAAGGTCAAACTGACCTCAAGTTTGCATGGAAAAATAAAATGAATTTTTATATTGAAAAAAAAAACCCCTCCGTCACTCAACGCTCACAAGATCAAGCGGGTCTTAACAGGTTGCATCCTCTGGTGCTTTGAGTTTGGCACTATTGTTCACCTTAACTATTTAAACTTATTAACTTGGGGTATTTTGAACTTTAATCAAGTGCCACAATACACCCAAATTGTATCGTCTTATTTTAGAAAAAAATTGAATTTCTTTTAATTTTTTGCTTAAGCGAAGAACACCTTTGAAGCACAATTAATTGTAATTTTTGGATGAAAACGGGTTTTATTTTGTTTTTTTCCCGTTACCTTCACACTTATTTAACTGCAATTTATATTTTAAATTACTACTATAATTAAATTACATTGTTATCCTTAGAGGTATTTATCTGATTTTTAATGATAAAGTTCTAGATGTTGATGATTTCTGTTACCGAGAAAAACTAATTGTAAGTTATTCAATGAAGAACTGATCAATTTCTAAGGTCCGAAGCCAAAATAAGTTCAACCTCGTGTATTTAAATAAAACACTTTAACGGTTTCAAACGCGAAATATATTATTCGAATGCTTTGCAGCAGATGTGGTCACGGGAAGGCGAAACGTCGAGTCGTAGTTAAAATAATAGCTAAATAAGTTTAACTAATACATATCGCGTTTAAAACCGTTAAATAGTTTTATTTAAATGTGTACTACTCGCGTAAACTACAGACAGTATTAACCTCATGTATTTTCATTGTGTGACCCCTATGTTTGTCTATCCTCCCCTGGCATAAGGATAAAATTGCCTACCAGCCAATTGTGTTACAGCTACAAGCCTACTTCCTTATCATGGACGACGTGATGGATGGATCAGCGATGAGAAGAGGAGCACCATGTTGGTATCGTCTTCCAGAAGTCGGGTTAGGCGCCATCAACGACTGCAATCTAGTTCAAGCCGCTATGTACGACATATTGAAGGAGTACTGCGCTCATCTACCGACTTACAAGGACATCGTACATCTTTTTAATGAGGTAAGCCTTACATTAGTGTAGTTTGACTGACGAGCTCATTTGTCCAACCCAATAGTAACGACAACGGGTCGTGGATTCGTTTTCCGTCGGACTTTGTTTTTATATCATTTAAAGATTTTTGAAACATGCTAGACCTATTTATTTATTTAAATTCGGACAATATGACATTAAGTTTATATAGAACTACTACTATATGTGTACTTAAGTATTGCTGATTTAATTAACTGTGACAGTAAAAATATGTCTTACCAGCTGTGTCAGCTACTTCGTCCGCGCGGATCGTTATTTTGAGCATACAATTTCGTTTTTGCAATCCCCTTCATCTTTATAAACATAAGCAGTTTAAATAAAACACTTTAACGGTTTAAAACGCGATATATTAGTTAAACTTATTTGAAAATGATTTTTAAATAAATGTGTACTACTCGCGTAAACTATAGACAGTATCTACTTAAGCAGTTACCCACGACGTTGGTCGCGTCCCTTCCCGTCGTACTTGCAAATTAATCTTTGATGATAGACATATAGCGTCGCCGACTTGTTTCTTTCATACAAATTTGGGTACCTTGAATCGTTTTTGCAGCGTACCAACGCCTCGGAAAACCCATAATAATGAATAATTTTCCCCGTTTTTTTCACAATACCCGTTATTTTTTTCGCTCCTTTTCGTCACATCGCGATGTGTTATAGCTTATAGCCCTCCTTGATAAATGCTCTACCCCACACAAAAAGAACCAGTAGCTCCTGAGATTAGCGCGCTCAAATTAGTATAGATATCTTATAAAACTATGAATCTTCCTTTCTATACATATAATTGAATAAGTGATAAATGATTTAAGGAAATAATAATAATAAAAATTGTCTAAAGGAACCTCGATATAAAATGGCTAGGCATTGAATCAATCGTACTATCGATATTCCGTTAATAAACTACGCTACGCTGCGTTGAACAGCCGTTGTCCAAAAAATAATAGTTTCGTTTTCAGTCTGGATTACAGAATGCAAAAGCGTAAAAACGTCGATAGATCATATTTATTAGATACTAGCTGTGCCCGCGGTTTCGTTCAAGTGGTCTTAGTTCAGTACATAATTGACACACAATGGAAGCCCTCAAAAACGAATAATTTTCCCCGGTTTTTCCACGGCTTCATCGCTGCTATTGGTCGCAGCGTGTTGTTATATAGCCTACATTCCTCGATAAATGGCCTATTTTCGATAATTTTTATATTTGAACCAGTAGTTTCTGAGATTCAACAAACCGCGTTCAAACAAACTCTTCCGCTTTATAAAATTAGGATAAGAGGGCTGTGGCATTACACTGCCTTTGTTGTCATTAAAATATAAAATGAGTCGTATGTTAATGAGATAAAGTTGACGACCTGAGATCATTTTGTTTCCTTGTTCTTTGTACGCGATTACAATAAAGAAAACGATCTTAACTATTTCTAGAACTCGACATTTCTCGATTTCTAGTACAAGTTTTTCAATTATTGCTACTTGTTAAACTAATTGAATTTTCGTCGAAATAAATGCCGTGTTGTATTACTGTCGGTCGCCGTCAGAAATAATAATACCAATTTATAAACAATTGTTACGTCCTAACAATTAATCTAACGTATATTTAAAACTACATAATTATTCCTTGATTACTGTTTAGAATAGTTGTAACTTGTAACACTTGCCTTTATCTTTTATTCTTTTTATAATTGAACTAGCCGTGCTCGCTTCGCATAGAATATTTATTTAAATTGTTTTGCAAACCTTCTCATCTTTATTTATAAAGATGAGGAGGTATAGCTGTTACTCACGACGTCGTCTGCGTGATGCATCCCGTTGTTCTTGCAATTGAATCTTAAAAGATAGAAATATACTGTCTCGAACATTTTTATAGATTATTTAAAGAGAATTCTTTCATACGCACTTTTCAACGCAGCTTTATGGGAGTCAAACAAAAAGATCGAGTAAATCACAGCATAATAAGAAAGGCGACAAAGGCCAAAGACATCAGGATGACTTCCATAAAGCTGAAGTGGACGTGGACTGGGCACCTGCTATGAGTAAAGGACAACCGGTGGTCCCAGGTTATCACAAGTTGGACTCCATTAGGCGTAAAAAGGAAACAAGGTAGACCGTCCAGGAGGTGGCACGACGAATATAAGGAAACTGCAGGCATGTTCTGGGAACGAAGCGCTTCAAACAGAACGGAGTGGAAGCGTATGGAGGAGGCTTTTACCGCAAAATGCGGACCCGACATAAACAACATTTGACAAATACGAATAAATTGTAAACCGAACGTTAAATATGTTTGGTATTAAAAGATTTTTTATTTTTTTTTTATAATTATTTCATACATATGTTTTGTAGCGCACGCAACGGAATCCCTAAAAGAACAATTTCTCCCGTTTTTTTCACATTTCTCACTGTTTCTTCGCTCCTATTGGTCGCATTCTGATGCTCTATGGCATAAAGGCTTCCTCGATAAATGGTCTAACACAATAATATTTTTTATTTAAATAAAAATCATTTATTGCCTTCAATCATACAAACAAACTCTTATAATATTAGTATAGAAACGCCCTAGTCTAATAATCAACGAATAAATTCTAGTCTTAATAGTTCATGATGGCATTATACTCATTAAAACTCTATTTAGCTAAAAAACATTTGATGACGCGGTAGCTCAATTGATAAGAACAGCAGCACGTATCGTGGTGCATGCCAGTTCAAGGCTCGCGTCGTCAAAGTTTTCAATCTAAATAGAATTCTAGCTTGCTTTATATTAAAATCGTTTTTTTTTTCTTCCCTCTAGACGCTTTTCAACACATCGATAGGACAACACCTGGACTACACAATGGCGCATCGTATTATGACCGACTATAGCATGTTCACCCCGGAAAGGTACACAGCTATCGTCACCTACAAAACGGCCTACTACACATTCAAAATGCCAGTCTTCCTAGGAATGCTAGTCGCGACTGACATGGATCAGCGTATTCATCCTACAGTGGAAAAAATATGTCTTGATATGGGATATTTGTTTCAAATGCAGGTAATTTTTTTTTATCTTACAGTTTTATTAGCTCGCACGAGAGGTGCATGTATCGATAGGTTGAAAAATTAACGCCACGGTAGCTCAATTGGTTAGAGCAGCAGCACGGAACGCTGACGATACCGCTTCAAGCCTACCGAGTCGTATTTTTTCAATCTAAGTTGATTTTTTAATAATTCTCCCTAACTTTCTATGAAAATTTTGACTAAATTCAAATACTTTAGTAACTTTGACAGTTTAGAAATACTAATCACAAATACAACTATATGAACGACTTCATATCAGAAGTGGGATTAAGTTATATAGATATATAATAATTGGCTACTAATATGGGAAAGAGTTTTAAAAGAGTATTTCATTCGAATTACTAACCCAATAATACCTTCTAACTTCTCAGGACGATTTCATAGACTGTTTCGGTGCGGAACATCTAACTGGTAAAATAGGTACAGACATTCAAGAAGGCAAATGCTCCTGGTTGGCTGTTCAGGCTCTGCAGAGGCTAACCGAGACGCAGAGGAAAGTATTCGTGGCTTGCTACGGAAGTCATGAGCCGGCACACGTAGAGAGAGTCAAACGGCTCTACGAGGAGCTTGGCTTGCCCGAGTTATATAGGAAAGAAGAGACGAAACGCTACGACGAAATAGTCGAGCGCTCCCAAAATCTTGGTCCTAACGCTGGGACCATGCCCGATCTTTTTATTAAACTCCTAGCTCTCATTTATAATAGAAAGAAATAATTCTTAACTTGTAAGCTTATAACCTTAACATGTGACACAAAATAACAAATTGCCGACTAAAGTTATGTGTATGAAAATGAACTACCTCTTGTGTAAGTCACGTTTTCAGTGAGTATAAATAATTACATTCACACGTGACGTACCATATAATTATAATTTAATACTAATGAAATGGCAACTAAATTCTACGACATATTAAAGAAGTTTGAATCTTTTTTATCACCCTGGAGATTGTAATATGAATAAAGCGAATACAATTAGTCATGTATTGATTAGATCATATTGTGTATTAGAAAGATTGATTATTTTTGTATGAATACAATAAAGATATCGAATATATTTAAATATTCGATTAGATGAAGTACTGTCTGTAGTTTACTCAAGTAGTACACATTTAAATAAAACACTTTTAATGGCTTAAAACGCAAATTAAAAAAAATGCAAGGATTCGGAAGGATGCTTTGCAGTTGCCGTGGTTACGGGGTGATGGTCGTTCTTCCTAATGTCAAAGTAAGAAGCTAGCGCCATCTGTTTTGTGGTATTTACTGAAACTGGCTGGGTTTTTGCAGAACTGACTCATCCTCTCATTGACTGGTATGCTGTTTTTTGGCACCTAGTGTTTTCTCTATGGGATTTTTAACCGTTAAATGTTTTAGTCAAATTAAATTTGATGGTTACGTATACAACATCGGACGTGCTAAACATTTTATTTGACATATTTATGTCAACTCTTAGTATGGATTGGTAAGACTGGTCTATTGAGATAGATTTGACAACTTAGAGCAATGTTCGTTTACATGTTTTTTGTTCGCCACGTAACTCGTGACTGATATAATTGTATTTTTTATATTGTCATTGATCGTTAAAATATAATTACTCTTTAATTTAGCTAAACGGCGCTTGTCGCTTGAAAATTTGCTTAATACCGTCCAAAGCATATTTGAACGGTATTAAACAAATCGTTTTAGTACATATTTAAAATTTGTTGCAATTCGGGTAATTCAAATATTTAACTTTTTATATAATAGATTATTTTTTAATATGTGTTCTTTTAGAATGATAAATTTAAGTAAGCAGTACTAATGTAGTTTAGAATTCCATACTGGGTTTGTTTGACTTTGTCCTTTTTCGTTCAAGTACCAAACATTTAAACCTTTATTGACTGATTATATGTTGTATTATTCATTTCAATTTGAGTTGTACAATTAGGAAACAGTTGCCAAAAGAAACCCAGTATATTTAAATTGTATAACGAATATAAGCACGGTGCTGGTTATAAACAAGAGTTATTTAAGATATTAAGTCACTTTACATATTGTAAATTTTATTATAATTAAAAACACATTAGTTGTACAATTTTCTACATAGAAATTATTGTGTATTTTAATAAAAACTTATACTTACTATGTTATATTTCATTTGACGGGTAATAAAAAAAGTGAATACTATTTATCATTTATTCAAAAATACATGTAATATAATTATAATTAGTTCTACGATTGACGCTAGGATTCGGGGAGTAAAAAAAAGGGGGGGGGATGAAATTATAGTTATTTATAAAATAAATAGGGTTTCACGTCTCTAGCTACATCTACGTAGAATTATTGCGCATGTAATAGTTATTAAAAACAAGTATTAAGTGACACTATTACGCTTAAGAATACGTTGGTTTATCGATCTATATAAAAAAGTAATCGCTGTATTCTTGATATGAAACTATAAATACAGATATAATATTATTGTGGGAAATTTCATAATATAATTACAATATTTTTTTTAATGAAAGCACTAATTATGAGTGTATAAATTTATCTGACATATGATAAATTTAATGGTTTCTCTTGCATTAAATGTAGTTAATTATAAATAAGACGAGAAACAAGAACAGTTTTCAATTATTTAAAATTCTGTTATTTCATCCTATATAATATGTTATACAGCAAAGTATAGGGCATTGAAACTCAATACCTAAGTGTGAAGGTTAAAATTATATTGCGCGAGATGGATTTAAACAATTCGGTTTTGTAATTGCGACGAGATAGCTCAATTAGTTACTGCAGCAGCATTGATCGCTGTGAATCCGAGTTCAAGTCCCGTCTGTGTATTTGTTTAATAAGGATTTTATTCCCAGTGTCACTTAACACCCCCTAATACGAATCTGATAAACGCATCAATTCCTTACAATTATATTTCATACGAATCAATACCATTTTATACATGTTCCATGATATAGACGTGCTAATATAATTTTGACTAGTAAGCACCAATTTACTATGTTAACTATATATTCATACATACTTATTTACATTTGGCTAATAAAATTTAGCCGATCACAATATATTTTCTTATCCCAAAGTTGGTTATGTTTAATTTAAATCGCTTTTAAACCAAAAGCAAAGTATTACAAATTATATGAGGCTTTCACCATTCTCCAAAGCATTTATACTCGAAAACGCAAGTAGTTTTATTCGGGAAGTATTTTTCGTTGGGCTCCGGCAAAACATTGAAACTAAACAAATCAAAGTCACTTAACTTTTTCGACGAATAGCAATTATCAAGATTTCGAAAAATGAATCTTATAGCTATAAACACTAGGTACATATTTAAGCCATACAAACATACACGTTTGGAATAAATCATTTGAGCAACGAAAAACGTGACACTCATAAAAACTATTATGCGTTAAAAATGACATTGCGCATTTAATTTACAACTTGTCTGGAAAAATAGATATTTCGAAAGTTTTTTAGCTCGACTGCGTGACTATTGCATTGTGTATAACTTTATTATATTTTGAAATCTCCAATCCTTTGATTGGAGATTTCAAAATATACCTAAAATAAAAATTACACGATTATCTTCGTTATTCAATGAGTATAGAATTCCTTAACACAAAAATTCGGTGGTACTCTGTATATTTCAGTTTTTATCTGTGCCCTGTCTTTTTGGTAGGACACAATCACCTCCACATAACTGCTGTCCATTACTGTTCTTTTTGCTTCTGATTCACCTAGAACAAATGAAACCTTATTTCTTGGGGCAGCTTCCATCAATACACGAGGTTACTGTGATGATGGAAATATTTTTATACTTTTAATTCGAACAAAATATAATTTTAACTAAAATAGTGTGTTTTCCCTGAGTTTCGGCTCGATTGATTTTATATTTTTATTTACGTTTGGGCGTGATAGAGGACATTGTATTCATTTATATAAAAAATAGCATTTATTCACATTAGAAGGATATCAAAACTATATTGTGTCAAGAATATAAAGATACGAAAAAAGCGATCAATTATTCGTTTGTTATTTATTATTATAATAAATAAAATACTGTTAATCAAATGCCTTATTATCTGTTATTGTAATGTTTACATAACTAATTGACATTATGTATATTTTAATTGTCTGTATAATTAAAGTTATGTAAAGCAGGTATGAAAATTATAAATATATTAAATAATTAGCGGTCTCTTAAAGATAATTAAATAAATCTACCTATGTAGCTTGACAGTGCAAACGTTTTAAACGGGCTTCAGGGCTAGATGGTTGCGCAGAACGCAAAAAGCACATATCTCGACTGGACTTTTTGCTTAAAATAGACAGTAGCATGCGCAAGATGACGGTCGCGTTATCTTCGGCCCGACCAAATAGTTCGGAAAGAACTGTACTCACCATATAAATGTGAATCAGCAAACTCCACTTTCATGCTGGCTCTACATGTGCGTGCGCAGGAAGCTGGGGCGCGTGCATCAACCTTCTGTGCGCCTCCGAGCCTGTGAGAGCCGCGATCGTAACTCCCGCCTGGTACGACGCCGGGATAAGAACGTGGCGTGTTCGCGTCTCAGCGTCTGTGCAACCGGCGTAACGCCACTCCCGTAGGACGTTTGCCACTTGACCTAGTAAATGTACTTTATAAATTGACTGTCAAATGTAAGTCGTCGAGTTTGTTGGCTATATCGTTTTAACAAGATCGTTTGAGTTGAAATGCACAATATTTTTGTATTTTTTTTTTCAATTTATAAACGATTCTAATTTATATAGCGTCATGTGCAATAACATGTGACAAATATTAAAGTTTTCACACGTTAAACTTTATAATTTCATCTTTACGATTTTCTTAAGCTGAAAAGGGCATGACATTGAATTAATACGTGAACGTTAAAATTATATAGCGCGAGAGGTGCATGTAAATATAGGTTAAAAATATGACGATGACGTGTAGGTTACGGTAGCTCAATTGGTTAGAGCATCAGCTTGGAACGCTGTGGATTTCGGTTCAAGTCCCCGTATCGTTAAATTTTTATTAATATTTTTGCACCAAAATGTTGAAGGAACAAAATGTTATTGAACAATTCGAAGAGGAGGTATTTGAGTTTAGTGAGATTTTAAACATAATCCCACCTAGAACTTACCGAGTACATTGAGCTTATGAAAGCGAATATCCGGCACAGCTGTTAAGGGCGACATATCCGTTTCAGGGTTAAATCTTGCTACAATATCCCGAGACCGTACAAGTAACACCGAGGGGGACACAAGCCTTGACCACACAACACCCTCGGGAACACATTCGACTGGATTACAGAGGTAAACTCCCCTGGGAGATACACCGAAAACCATTTGGTGGTGCCACGCGTCTGGAATATCACCTTCGCAGCCCAGCTGCAGATTCAGGGTCAAGATTGGAACTGCACCTGTAATTTATTTATTTCTCTATATGAAGATATTAAAGAAGTTACAGTATTAGACAAGAACATACCAAAGCAGGTTCTATCTATATACATCCAACTTTCAACCATAGAAGGGGCAGCCTTCAAAAAAAAAATACAATTACCAAGAGATATCCAATCCGCAAGCCAATGCAACAACGACAGACTTCTTTCCGGATATGTAGGGAAGAATCTCGCTGTAACTAATCCATCTGAAGCTCTCTGAATGCCTGTCACCAGGTCAGCGGCAGTGCACCCAGCTACTGATCGAGACATTATATACCTGACAAAAATAACTGGAGTGTATATTTTATAGAATTCAAGAAACTCATTTGGTTTAATTAAATTATATGAGTGAAAACCCAAGCAAGTTTTGTTTTCAGTATTAAATGAAGGTGTAAGCGTAAACAGGAAAAACTCTAATATGATTTCAAAGTCTACATTACCTTTGGGTAAGGAAATATTATTACTTAGATAGTGACATAGTCTACCTGGGTATAGGGGCATTGTTAGCTCTCTGTCTGGTACCCACGGCTGAATTAATTCTCTCTATGTTAACTGGCACACCAAGGGCGAGCTGAAATTAAGAGTATATTGATTTGATATACAATGTTAATATATCTGTGATATTGCAGGTTTTAAATTTCTTATTTATTTATGTAACATAATGTTGTATTTTGCAACTTTTCTAGTTTTTATAAGTATTGCCCAATTTTTAAATGTCACTTTTTTATGGCAGAGGAGGAATAACAAATAAGGGGTTCAGTTCAGTTATCTATCACATCATAGCCATCACACAACATGTCTTGCTGAACTATTTTGTCTTAGGACATTTGGATGGCCACAGACTGTAATTAAAACGCGACTAAGCAATGGTTTAAACCCGAACGGAATTTCCAAATTTCGAGCACACATTTAATATCCATATTTTCCAGACGAAGTTTTAAAAAATATATAAATTGATAGTAACATATTGATCCCAGTGAGTATGCAACCCACAATCCGTAGAATATTAGCAACATACTGCTACTATTATTATTATTTTCTATCGGGGGAAACCCTTGACAGGACGGGTGATCAGTCCACGTTAGCCGCTGACCATTTCAACCATTTCCCATTTCCTCCTTGCAGAGGTTTTGGGTCATCCAACTCTCCCCGTGCCCCCTTCAAACCTTTGGTTTGCTTGCAGAATCTTATTATATTTCTTTAATGTCATCTTCTGTAACTTCATCCGAGCCCATATGCATTTGTCTTAGCCTCGAGTATGCAGAGCATTCAATGAGTAGATGGATGCTGATTTTACACTTTTCGATTCTTCGATTTTGCACTACCTATTCCTATCATAGTAAGATGTCTATTGTCCATAGAAATTGATAGTAACATGTTGATCCCAGTAAGTATACAGCCCACAATCTGTAGAATATTAGCAACATATTGCTACTATTAACTAGCTCACCAGAAAAGATTTTATGTTACACAAAACGTAGTAAAAAAGTCACCAATATAATGGCAAAATATATACTTACAAACACATTAACTATAGCAGTAGCTCCACATGCCGAAGTGCCAATTTGAGTGACTTGCCTTTCACATGCTTCCCGTTCAGACCACACCATGCATCGAGGGGCATCCACACAAGGTTCACTTGCTTGTGATGGACCTGCTACTGGTTCTGATTCCTAAAATAATATTGAGCCTTTATCTAGTATAAATACGCTAATGGGAATTTTAAAATACTTGTTACACTCATTTATTAAGGCTTTGACAATTTTTCAAGTTTTAACAACAGATAATTCAGTGACAAAGTAAGGAAATTTACCTTGAGTGTGTGAATATATTTGTAAAGATGATACATGTATGTACTATATAATTCTCTTGATTTTTCAAACATTGAATACACATAAGCTATATTTTATGTAGAATTTATATTTAAAAAGTAAAATAGGTAGCATTTTTTTTTGTCAGTTTCTAACTAAATACTGTTTGTAGTTTACGCAGGTAGTACACATTTCAGGGAGGTGGGTCAGTCTTCCTGTGACCAAGGCTGCCGCACAGCATCAGAAACATCAGGCCATAGTTAAAATATTTTTCAAATTAGTTTAACTAATATATATATGTTGTGTTTTAAACTGTTATTTCAAAGTTTCAAAATACTAATTCTTACCACATTGAAAGAAGCATTGGTCTCATCACTTTTAGGTTCATTCATAAGCTTCTTTGCCATATTTACATGGTACAAAGCAGTTGTCAAATTGACCGAGTCAAAGGTTGTGATTTCTCCTTGATTGATTTGGTGTGCCATGCCTTCGTCTTTCTTTTCTTCAGTATCTAAAGGGAATAACCAGCAATAAATATAACTAGAACGTCAACCCTTTGATCAATATTAATTAGTGATTTATAAATCTAATTAGATTTTTAATTTCTGTTGGGTTTAATTGTTCATATACTTATAATTAATAATAAAAATACCACAGCACCATTTTATTATATAAAGATGCATGTCTCCCAACTGCATGATACAAATGACATTGAAGAAGAAATTAGAGATATGCAATAATATAAAGTACTCACAATTCAAAACTTCTCTAGATGAAACCAGGTCTCCACTAGAGCCATGTGTTGTTACTGGTTCTGGATGTCGACACTGAGCTATGGACCTCCTAACTCTCAGCCGTTCACCTCTGACATTGACATGAGTAATATATTCTGTCCGAGTTATTTTGACCTTCTTGACAACCATACATTTATCAGGGACATCTCGATTACTGGTACTTGTAGTTGGCAAGTCAAATATTGATTTTACAGTGCTACTCTGAGTGACTGCTGGCATTACTGGTTGTATGGCACCTGGGTGGTATTCTGGTGATGTTCCTCTTATAACATGTTCATTGCCGTCTGGAACACTTACCACCTCAATGTCCGCTTCTGGAGTAGACTCATCACCTGTATCTGCCTCACAGGATGGTCCAGGATCAAAGTCCATTTCTAAGAAGTCCATGTCGGGGCTGGATGCTCTCGAACCGGGTCTAGGATGTGCAGGCTGTGGAGGTGGTGGCACTGGAGCTGCAGCTGCAGAATTAGGTGTTAATGGTAATCCCATGTCTAAACTAAAGAAAGAACTTGGAAGATCAGCTAAATGCTCCCCACCTCTATATGTATAGATACACCCATCTTCAGAACCCAATGAATAGTCATCGTTCCCAGTGTCACTTGAACTCTCATCACCTTCAGCAATAGGTCTTTTTAGTCTTAGAGTTGAGGGTCGTTTTTTAAATTCCTTTGTTTCATTGTTAACAGCTATACTTTCACAATTGCTAGATGATGGAAGACCACTTGTTGAAGCTTCACCTATGTTACTTTTTTCTGCATTAAGTGTATTCGTTTCATTAGCCCTTATTTGACATTGAGTTTCGTTACAACTTGGAAGTACTTTGCTGCAGCTGGCGACCGGTTTACAAGAATGCGAACTCGTATTATTCGGCACTATTTCATATGCTTTATCACCAGTATCGTTAGAATGTTCTAAATGATGGCTAAATGTCGATTCCTGGTCATTACGTACAATACTTGAGTTACTTCGAATATCATCAGAACTTTGTACATTCCGCGAAAAGGATTCCATATCGTTTGACATTGATTCGCACACTTCATCATCGCCGTCACCTTGCCCTCGCTGTTTATATGAGCTTTTACTTGTGCTGTGCTCTACATTAACGACTTCTTGTTCCTGTATATTCCTCATTGGTGAAGATTCTTCTTTAGATTCCATTATATTAAAAACAAGATTCGTCCAAATTCGTCGGCATTGTACCCATGAAAAGGTTACATTAAATTTTTGGACCCAGAGGCACGAGGACTGGATTTAATTGCAATTGTACGACCAAAAATCTTTATATAGAGGTATAAGTAACACTTAAGCAAGAAAATTTGCAAATAAGATCAGTAAATTATTATTTAATTGAATAAAAACAAACCAATTTCAACAGAATTGTATTGACAGGTTGACTTCTTCACTGTTTTTTCATAGATTAAATAAGGAACTTAAAAATATTTTTGGCGAAAGACTAATATAGTCTATAGCAACGTTAAGTAAATGTCAGCCGTTTGATTTATATAGTCTGTGGGATTGTATTGTCTAATCAGAGTGACATTTGGGACAAAAATTTTACGATCAAGATTCAAGATCCAGCTGTGAAACATCTAATTTTTTAAATTGCGTCTTAGTTTATATAAAGAATATAAAAAAAAGCTAACTGTAATAGAAATATTGCATAGAAAAACTGTAAAAAGTTATTAAGTGTAACGATGGCTTACGCATACTTGTTTAAATACATCATCATTGGCGATACAGGTATTGATTTTATTTCCTGAAATTTTGCATACATATTATGGTTTGGTAGAGCGCTGTGTTTTTGGCTTAAAATAAAAGTAATTGAGCAACCGCTCCAAATCGTACCTTTGTGTATGAATAATTGTTAATTTCAAACAAGTTGTACTTACTGTTATGACTAACAAGCATAATACTATGTCTCGTCACTCAGTTACAGTTCCGCCTACGCGTAAAATATATATTCGGTAATTTTTGAAATTCACCCTTATATCCCTTGTTGTTTAAATTCTCCTTTATATGGCTATTATTTTCAAACATACTTCCTTAATTTTAAACTTCAAGCCAAGGTTGTTCTTTGTTATTGTTAAAAAGAACAAAGGCAAGAAACATTTTAAAATGGAAGTGTATCTACGTAGTGTATTAAAAAATTGGCATATCTTATTTGTTATTTTACTATTATTTGTAAATGATTCTAAACATAATGTTTTGTAACTATCACAAACTTCTTTTTACATGTTCTTTGATAGATTGATTATAGTGTGCCAGTATTATAAAATCAATCTTATCTTTAACTAATTATCTGTTATTTAGTTAATCTACAATGTGTTCACAAAGCAAGAAAGTAATAAACAAACAAGGCAAAAACCTCTTACTTAAAATAAAATGAGGATCAGATAATTTTAGAATTAACAATATTATTTCCTTAGGCGTTGGAAAATCATGCCTGTTACTTCAGTTCACCGACAAGAGATTCCAGCCAGTCCATGACTTGACCATTGGTGTTGAGTTTGGTGCTCGGATGATCACAATTGACGGAAAGCAAATTAAACTGCAAATTTGGGATACAGCTGGTCAAGAAGCTTTTAGGTAAATAAAATCAATGTGATTTGTATAACCCAATGTACTTATTTTTGGCAGAAGAGTAAGAACAAGGCTTACTGAATGGAAAGTAAAATACATAAATATTATATTATGTAAAATTTACATACAACAATTCCCGAACCATAGAAGTAATCAAATTAAACACACCATAATATTATCAAGTGTTCAAGGAGTTTAAACTTTCAATTACCACTGTGAAATGAAACTTAAAAATGAGGAGGATCCAAATGAAATTTAACTAAAGATTGCCTAGGATTTTTTATTTTGTGCACAATTTTTATTACAAAATTACATGTTTATAAAATTTTTGGATGGAACATGAATTGAGATCCTCACCATTCTGTGAGCAGGCTCTAGTCTACTGTATCAATTTGTCAGAGTCATTCCTCCCATATCATACATTTTTTATCTAAAAGGATTTTGAATTTATTCACTACTGTATATTTAACCTGGTTGTTGATGTATAATATATGTATATATTTATTATTTCATGAAGTGGCCCCCAGTCAAGGATTCTTTATTTACTTTCTAATATTTAATGTTCCGGAAAACTTGAATCTTGAAGTTTATTAACTTTGTAATATACAAATAAGGAGCATTGTCTTTTCAGGTCAATCACCCGGTCATACTATAGAGGGGCGGCAGGCGCGCTCTTGGTGTACGATATCACACGAAGGGACACTTTTAACCACCTAACTACCTGGCTCGAAGATGCACGTCAGCATTCCAACTCAAATATGGTTATCATGCTCATTGGTAACAAAAGGTAAACTAAATTTATCTATAAAAGAGATCCTACTCCCTTACATTATGTTAGTTTTTTCACATATAAACTGCAAATGGGCTTCTCTATGTCTTTGTCCTCATAGAATAGTTATTTTGCTCATCCAAATTTATTTTTATTTTTGCATACTTCCTACTTATCTTTATGAATTTAAGCTCGTTACTCATGACGTCGGTCGCGTTCCGTCGTTCTCTCAAGTTAATCTTTAAAAGAACATTTTTTTAGATTTAAAAAAAATAAATAATACTTTCATGAATATATTTTGGGTGTCTTAAACCGTTTTCGCAGCGGACGGATTGGAAATTTGAGATGAATCATTTTCTCTTTTTTTTTCTAATTTCCTGCTGTTTCTTTGCTCCTATTAGTCACATCACGATATGCCTTCCTTCCTTCCGTAATAATTCCTCTAACCAACCAAAAAATATTTTTCAACATACAAATCACAGTTTTATATAGTAGTATAGACAATAACAGAAACCTACTGGTTTTGTTATCCTTTTAAAAAATTACTGGCTTTGTCATCCTGTTAGAAATTCATTATTCAGTTATTACCTTATACTTTTTACATTAAAGTTGTGATTCATCTCACATAGCCCTACTTTAAAAGGTCAGAACGTTACGGACCTGAATAATGTTGCATTAATTATTTTTTTTTTTTACTTAATGACACACATTTTCCTTAATGCCACATCTGAGTTTATTAATGTATACACAGCTTTATTGCTGGTTTGATGAATTTACCTTAATTTAATGGTACTATTTCAAAGTACTACAATATCACTACATATAATACTATAAAACAAAGTCACTTTTTCTGTCCCTATGTGCTCTTGAATCTTAAAACTACGCAACGGATTTCGATGCGGTTTTTTTTATAGTTATTCTAGAGGAAGGTTTTATATACAACGTTCACAGTTTTTCTGTAGCGTATTTACTATCAGCATTACACCAGAGCAAATCTGGGGCGTATAGGAGCATAGTAGGACAACATTTGTACATGTGAACCTCACTTCACTTAAAACTTTTTTTAGTGATCTTGAATCACGACGCGAAGTAAAGAAGGAGGAAGGTGAAGCCTTCGCTCGAGAACACGGTCTGGTCTTCATGGAGACGTCGGCAAAGACTGCTGCCAACGTTGAAGAGGCGTTCATCAACACTGCCAAAGAGATCTACGAAAAGATTCAAGAGGGAGTGTTTGATATTAACAATGAGGTAAGTGCAACCTTAATGTGCTGAAATAAGTAAGTATCGTCTGTTCTTACCACGATTAGTATACATTAAAAAAAAACGCGAAATATATATCTTGGCTTATTTTTAATTTTCTCTAACTACGGCCTAACGTATTGTTAAGTGTTTTATTTAAATGTGTGCGACACGCGTAAATTACAGAGAATAAATTGATTGGCCTAATTAAAATTATACAATTCTATAGAAATATCAAATAGCATCACAATATTGTATAATCTTTAGAAACTATTTTTTTTATAAATTTATAATAATCTTACGTTAAATGATTTTAATACGCAGATAATACTAATTATTTGTAGTCTCAAGTCTAACGTTATCGTATTTATTATTGCAATTATTCCTAATAGTATTTGTATGTTGACATAAAGCTATGTTTGTTATTTTTATTGTGTGAGTTTATTATAGGTCTTTGTTTAGATAGCCTATACCCCACTTAAGTGGAAAATAAAAGACACTACTTAAAGTAATGCGAGAACTTTGGTCAACAGTGTGGGTCCTATATAAATAAAACGGTTGTTGACCCAATCGGGTAAACGTTTTAACGGAATTGTCTTTTATGTTATGTGAATATTTACAGCATTTTGAGAGACGATTTTTTCATTTGAATTTTTGAAAATTTGAAACCTTAATGATTATTATCATTAACTAAGTAATGATCACAAGATACCGTGTCGCACAAGGGCCTTCTAGTCTTTAGAAAAACAGTAGAATCATATCATTTTTTAATTAACTGTATATACTACACCAGGAAAATAGTTTTTTAGCAGTCATCAAATTTACAACATAAATAGATATGTTGTAGGGAGAGACAGGCAAAATTAACGAATGTTAGTGATGTTCAATTGAAATCTAGTTTTTTTTCTTCCGTTCCGATTTTCCTAACATTATAATTGTTTTTTTTTTTCAATCCAGAAGGAAAACGAACCCTTTATTCCAACAAATCATCCGCTCTGTTTTCAGGCGAATGGCATTAAGATCGGTCCTCAGCACTCGACGGCAGGAGGCGCTGGCGCCGGCGGTGCGGGTGCTGGCGGTGCAGCGGGCGGGGGCTGCTGTTAGGTGCTGCGCTGCACACACTGAGCGGGCAAAACGAGGTTTGTTTTTATTACAATATATATCCCCACGACTTCGGCCGCCTGGAATCGTTATTTCGGGCATCATATATCAATTTTTGTAAACAATCTCTCCTCGGCTTTATAAATTATAGCTGTTAGCCACGACTTCACCCGCGTCCTTCGTTCTTGCCAGTAATCTTTAGATTCAAAGATGATAATTTCTATTAGTCGCAGTCCAATGTCATATAGCCTATAATAACCTTCCTCAATTAATGGTGCAACTTAATGCAAAAATATTTTTTCAATTAGAACCAGTAGTTCCTGAGATTAGTGCGTTCAAGCAAACAAACTCTTCAGCTTTATAAACTGCATGAAGGAATGCTGCTGAACTGCAGGAAGGATATATTCAATTAAGAGTTAAGTTTATTGATGGAAGTTTGATAATTCATTATTGTTTCAGGATAGGTGCAGCTGTGTGCAATGAAATGTATATGAAACTTACTGCATGCCGGATTATTCAATTTCTTTTGTATGCTACAATAGGTCGCGTCAACTGTGACTAGTGTGGGCTCAGGTTAGCCCACATCTGTTTACTTATAAATATTCTACAGGTATTATTATAAATACCTTTGTTTAGGTATATTTAAATTACTGTATTGACTCTATATAGGAACATTTGACATTGTTTGCTGCTTATTGTAAGACAGTACAGGGTAGCGCTTTTATGTACCTGGTAATTGGCCAATTTTTACTATCTGTTTATATTTTAAGCACTAATCATCTCAAAACAGCTTCCGACCACTGTAATTATAATAAGCAGTAAAAAATTATAATATAGGCTGATAACAGTTTCACTATACAGTCAGCCTTACTCTTTCCTAACACATTTTTCACTAAAATTATTTGACTAATAAAATTACATTATGTTTATAAGCTTGGACGCGATGTAAGGTTGAAGGTACATTGATTCATGAGGTTTAAATCAGGATCTATCCTTTATTTCGTAGTGTGGCAGTAAAGTTACCTTCTCAAATCTTCAATCATTAGGCATAAGTACATATTCCAATTTGACACTGAGATCGGACCAGAAGTATTGAGTTTGTATGTTCAATGTTTCACTTTAAGGCGTCGTATATTCTTTGTTGATTATGTATCTGCATTTTTTATGGAGTTAAATTTTCTTTGAAGAGCTGCATTCAAATTAGATCGACTTCAAGAACCAACTGTGTCTTTGATTTATCTAAGCTTAAATGTGGTTTTATTAAATTTTTTAAGTGCAATAAGATACTTATCTGTAAAATTAGAAAGTATATTTTAAAGTTACATAAGCCTAGTACACAATTAGTTTCGAGTATGCAACGAACCTTGACAAGTTTCATTTTTAAACAGTTGCGTTCTTTGGCATACACCAACCTGTTAGCAAATTTTATTTTTGATTGTATATTATGTGGTTATATATTTATTCTTACATTAATATAAAGTATGGTTAAATAGGCCTGAACAAAGTATGACACTCTGGAAGGAATAATTTCAACTAAATATGTAGGAGGCCTTTTGCACAAGAAATTGTCTGCAAAGTTGTTTTGACAAAGTAACTGGAGATCAAGGATTGCTTGCATTGTAATTGAAGACGTGAAAATAAGATTATTTTTAAGTTTAGCACATTAAATGATGTAGTAATATTTTATAAGGTTTCAATGTGCAACATATTTGTAAAGCATATTCATTAAATAAATGTTTTAAAATAGGTTCAAGTTTTATTTGAGTCGAGAGAGAATTTTGATAGGAATAGAAGCCTTTTTAGCTTGAGTCGAAATATTTAAATTACTAACTGTACAACAGTTATGCCTTTGTTTTCTTATAATACTTGCAGAACAAATGTCAAACTCTTGTAATTTATTAGGTTCTTGGTTGATACATAGCAAATAGAATGTATGCTTACACCATGCTTAGCTCTAATGATTTCCAACATATCTTAGAATACACATAGATCTGTAATTTTATTTAACACAGTAAACAAAGAATTCACTAATTCTGGGGTCTTCATCTTAACAATACCGTTGAACTTAACCTCAGCTTTAGGTAGTATTACTTCACAAATATCAAGTACAGACACATCCATTGTTAGCATATGAAATAATTGGTTTTGCAATGTCTGATATGCCATAGTCACCAAGTCTGTTTCATTACTGGTTTCATCTTTCAAACTGGAAATTAAAATAATAATTCAATAGGATATATCACACCATTTTTTATTCGATTTTTATAGAGATAAGCTCTTTTGTTTATTAATTTGAGAAAAAAAATACCTGGTCCAAATTCCTTGAATGTCACCAATTTCAAATGCCATTGTTAATTTATCTTTGAAATCAACTTGAGGGGTTTTATAAACCAATGTAAAAGGATCTGTACTCCTAGATGAGTCATTTTCGAGGAAGTTAAAGCCCAGTTGTAAAAGCTGAAACTATGAAACAAATTTGTACATTTCCAGTATTAAAGTTCCTATTCTATAATATATACCTTCATTAAAAAATCTTTTTAGATTAAAGATCTTGAAATACCTGTGTAAAATTATAGTCCTTAATGTTACAGTCAAATATATTTTGTAAAGCAGTTTTTACAATATGTCCCACTTTCTGTTCGCCTCTTTCTAACATATATGGTAAGTGAATAGCACATTCTAATGTTATACTTTTTCCCCATGACAGAATGATTGCATTATATGCAGTCTTTTTTTTATGCTCTTGAGTGGACGTGACTGTTATCTGAATAAAGGACATTATATTTAAATTGTCTATATATTGGAAGTAATAAAGAAAAATTCCACATTTTAAGGAATAGTCAATAGATAATCGTATACATGGTATTGAAATATAGATCACCTCTGTGGCTCAGTTAGAAAGATAAACATGGACTACAGTCCAGCAATGCAAACAATAAGGTCTTGATTATGAATTCCAAGAAAACCAATCAGAGTTTGGTACAAAGTTTGATAATATTATAACCATAGAAAAGACCAATCAGTGAAACTATAACAGATCCAAATGTGTTTTAAGTAACTTTAAAAATAGGAAACAGAATATAATTCTTAAGTTTGTTCTGTATTTTAAATTGCTTTAAAAAGTAAAGTTCTTACCATAATACTGGGAGCGTCATCGTTACTATATTTTAGGAGAGGTAATCCTTCAATGTTAACCAAAAACCTAGAAGTAGCCTCTGTCGCTACAGCGCTAGTAAGAGCTTGTTTTATACTTGAAGCGTATTGCTTAAGTTTAACTTCTTTGTATTGTAAATTGAAAAGAGGCGACACCTTATTTACCCTCCATTGATTTTCATTGTAAATTACTAAAATAATAAGCAAACGTATTAAACACATATTTAATTTAAGGAAAGTTAAAATTTTCTCAGGTACCTGCAAGGGGATCCATCTTTGAAGCACTATTAGTTTGTAAAGTTATTTAAATAAATGGCTCTACTCCTTCATATTTATATTTAACTACGGTGAACAGTCTTCCTTTCCAAACAATTCAATATCTGAAGCTTGTTATTTTTAAACATTAATAGGGATGTTTGTATTAAATTTAATTATTTAGCTATTTACAATTTACTTTATTAAATTTGAACTCTAACGGCTGTATCGCAAAAGATAAACAACTTAATCTGTCTGTCAGAATTGATCTGTCTGTCAGAATTGATCTGTCAGTGTCAATCAAATAGCAAAACGTTAAAAAACTAACGTTGTTTCAAGATATGGATGATAATGAGCATCTATATTTAATTCTTTTTAGCTCAATCCAAATACGAGTGTGAACATTTATATAGTCTGTAGTGGTACCGTGAGTTTTCTTAATACCATTGGCGAAAAAACAAAATAACAATACCATAACGTCTTGTCACAGAAGGAGAAAGCCATCAAATTAAGAAGAAAAAGAAGAGCACGATAAGAGTCTTGCAAATTCCATATAAATATTTCACCTGTTAACTTCTTTTGTTATGATACTAAGATTTTGTCTTATATAAAATTATGAAAATCTATTAGGTTTTAGGTCACAAACATAAAAGAATAATTAAATAATTATACCATCCTATTATCGCCATTGAGCACTGCCAGTTGTCAAATGTACTATTCTATAATCTGTACAAGACGAAATACAAAGCAAAACATTAAACAAGAATTGAATTTTTATTTTTCTTTCCAACATTTCAAATTACATTAACTATATAACTTTTTATATGGAAGATGAAGTGTATATGAATGGCTAGGAAAATCGTATTTTACACATTCCAGAATTGATTTCTGTTTCGTTATTCTCAAGTTTGAATTTGCAGTCAAAATATTTTGATAATATATATAGTGACGTTTTAAGATTAAAGTTTAGCTACAACTTCACTGCAAGGAACTTCATACTTCGTTCACTTCAGTCGTCATTTTGTATCCAACTATTGCGTAGGATGGAGCAATTAAGATTTGATGGGCGCGTTGCTGTAATTACTGGTGCCGGCGGTGGCCTAGGTAAAGCCTACGCATTGCTCCTAGGCTCACGAGGCGCCAAGGTGGTTGTAAACGATTTAGGCAGTGCAAGAGATGGTGTAGGCAAATCAAATTTTGCAGACGAAGTTGTAAAGGAAATAAAAGCCAAAGGTCAGTTTATTGTATTCATAGTACTTAAGTAATTTTGTTTTGACTTATCATTCTCATTAACAAGTTTTTTTTTTAGTTTGTTATTCTAAACAGGTTTTATATGTTAATCGCAAGCAACAATTATGTTGAGAATTAACTTATATTTTAGAGATTGAATAGCGTTTAAAACCCATCAGAATTTATGATCAAATAAATGATATGAGATAACATAATCTTGTTGTTGAGGACTGTTCATTGTTAGATAATCTTGTTTACAGTTTTTACTCCTATTTAATTCCTATAAGGAAAAATTAATTGTACAAAGTTCTCAATATTACTATAAACACATATATAAAAACATCATACAATTTTCTATTAATACATATGGTTGTTTTAATGTTTAATTATATATAAGCTATCCCAATATAAATTTGTTTTAGATGACATCTTCCTCTGAAATTTCTTGTATATTGTGTGGAGCGTGGGGTAGAGATATTCTGTTTCTATTTCACTGCTTGTTTTTTTTTGCAAGTCATCAATCTTATGTCCTGTACATCACTGACACACTTGTGCATCTCAAAGATTTCTCCCTGAATCTCTTGTGTGTAACACAACAACACAAAAACTATGTTGAGGATTTTAGTTTAATACTTCATTGGCAGAATAGTGATTTTAATTTTTATATTGTATAGGTGGTGAGGCAGTAGCTGATTACAATTCAGTGGTTGATGGCGAGAAGTTAATCAAAACTGCACTTGACAATTATGGCCGAATTGATATCCTTATCAACAATGCTGGCATTTTGCGTGATAGGAGTTTCCAAAAAATGTCTGAACAGGTATGTCAATATGGATCAATGCCTAAGGTCAATATGGATCCTATTCCTCCAAAACCAAATGATCAATTTACAAATCCCTATTTATTCACTTACAAATGTTAATAAGCATAAATTAGCTACATTTATTTGTTTCCTGCTTTATTTAAGGAAATTCTAGTAGTTCTGTTACTCTGTGTTAATAACAAGTTAAAATTATTTACGTCATAACATTATTTCATATAGCGAAGTTCAATACACTTTTACTCAAAGATAAGGTATCTCCATCCGTGTATGTATGTATGGAATTACATACTATATAAACCTTTTGGATTTATGTATTTTGAAATAAATCTATATTACATAAACAATACTTGATCTCAATTATCCTTCTGTGTGTAATGTGTCTGATCAATTACAATAACATGCAGGCATTTTATTTCCATTATGATAACTTTTATTTGTTCTATATGTTATCAACAAAATATTATAGAAATATAGAAGTAATGTTTATTAAGTTATCTAATCTTGTATACTTCGCCTGTAAAGCTTCGCGAAATATACGATATAATATATTATATGTTACAATTAAATCATATAAATGATACAAACCAATAATATTTAAAGGAAATGCTATGGTGAAATTTTAACATGTTATAACACATGACATACTGCCTCAATTTATAGAGCTGTAGTTAGTTTGGGTTCGAGGCCCATCTGTGCCTTAAATTTTGTTTAATGTAAAATGGATTTGATTAGCCCAGAACAGAAAAACTAATAAATTATTAAACAATAATAATAAATATTTTCACAATGTATAAAAACTATTTCATAGTTTGTATGACCTGTAATTAGGACTGGGACCTAATTCATGCTGTACACCTGAAAGGAGCATACAAAACCACTCAAGCAGCATGGGAGGCATTCAAGAAACAGAAGTTTGGACGAGTCGTCATGACATCGAGTAACGCAGGACTCATGGGGAACTTTGGACAGTCGAACTACAGGTAAAATGAGTCTTAGAACATATAGGAAAATAACATACTTGATAAGCATGTACACGAACCTACTGCACGTCTTGAGGAATATTAGCTATTACCAACTGTGCCTTTAGAATACGATAGAGGTTACACTGGCATAGGGGCTCACTCAACGTTTTAATTACCCGACGGAATGTATAACATGATGTTAGAAAAGTTAGTCACTTTTCGAGTATTACTCGGTGGGAATCGAATCCACAACCCGTTCCTATTAGATTAGTGAGCACTATATTAGAAGTTACCAACTACTTTTAGGTTAAAAAGCTGCTGCTACTGGCTTATGGCTATGTTTTTATTTTTAATCCAGTAATCATAGCTAGTTAGAACCTTTGGCATGACTTGTATGCAAGTCTTAACGTGAATTTTCTCTCCAGTGCTGCAAAAATGGGCTTAGTCGGACTTGCAAGTACACTCGCAATCGAAGGTGCAAAATACAACATCAAAGTTAACACGATTGTACCTACAGCAGCCTCACGTCTAACCGAAGATATCCTTCCACCAGATATGTTCCAAGCTATGAAGCCTGATCTTATTGCTCCCGTTGTTGTAAGTATTCATGACTAAATTATCTAATCTTATTGTATAATGACTCACTAATCTAAAAATGTTAAAGCGCAAAGATAATACACACGAGCAATATTGTTTTGATGGCGATATATTTTCGTAATTTCTGATAAATCTATTCCAGAAGATAAAGTTAAGCGAAAGTAAAGTGAAGGGATATATTAATAGTTAAAATAAATTTTAGATTGAAAAAAAAAAGCGATAAATGTGAGCGGGACTCGAACCCACATTAACATATCGCTTCACTGAGCTACCGTGCCAATTTCCATTAATAGATATATCAATGAATTGATTTTTGGATATTATATTGTTAAAACATGGTAAACTTTATTCGTAAATTAACTTTTAATTGAAAATGTTTACTGGTGGTTTAACTAAGGTTTCTCTGTTTTGTCGTGAAGTGTTAGAGTAGCAACAACAATACGTCCTGAGATGGGATCTTGGGGTAACGATAAATTGTTTCGGTTGGACGGGGCACAGACAAAACTGTCCAATATCCAATGGGAACCGGGAAGCAGGACTTACGCGAGTATGAATTAATTTAAATAAAACAATTTAACGGCTTAACGCGATATATTTTATATTAAGTAGTTAAACCTATTTGAGAATTATTACGAAACGTCGGGCCGTAGTTAAAATAAATTTCGAATACTAACTGACTAAAATGTGTCGTGTTTTAAACCGTTAAAGTGTTTTTTTTACAATTACAATTTTTAATGATTTTAACATTCTTCTAGGCGTACATGGTACACGAATCATTTGAAGACAGCGGAGTTATTATCGACTCGACATTAGGATTCGCGCACAAAGCACATCTTGTGAGGTCAAAGGGGGTTCCACTGAGGTGAGGTTGTGTCTCTTCTTATTATTGAATAATTATGGTTGTCTAGCCGTGGTAAGCATTGGTTTTACATTGAGTTTTAATATTTTCCGTAAAATGCACGATAAAAATTACCTAGCTGTAATTTTTACTGCATTATTTTATAACTCGCCGCCTAGTCTTACGCCACATTTTTTATGTTTAAATGTCTTTAAGCAATATTGTTTTTATTCAATTTTCTTCTTTTACACAGATTGAAAAGTAGATACAACTAAATACTCTCTGTAATTTACGCGAGTAGTACACATTTGAATAAAACACTTTAACGGTTTAAAACGGAGTATATAGTTCACTTTCTGTCTGTCTCCCCGTGACCACGGCTGCTCATCCGAAACGTCGGGCCGTTTAATCGCAATATATATTGGTATTAAACGATATTTACAAGTAGATATAACAATAAATTTCATCTAAGACATTGAATACGGTATAGAGGTGCGGTATACAGGTTGAAATAATTCGACGACGACGTAGAACTCGGTAGCTCAATTGGTTAAAGCAAACAGCACGGAACGCTACAGATGCGCATTCAAGTCCTGCCCGAGTCGTAAATTGATTCAATTTATAATTTAACATCTCTATTTTTTATATTTGAAAAGAAAATACAGCTGTAAACCCAAACTTGATTTAGGACATATAGTATAAATTAGACATTATATAATATTTTAATCAATTTTATCATTTGTGTAAAATTCTCATCAGTTAATTTTATAACCTTCAGGAATAAGCCATCTGATGCAGTCACCATTGAGTCAGTAAAGGAGAAATGGGCTGATGTAGTCAACATGAACGGCGCAAGGAGAATTGACAAAATCGCCGAAGTCACACTGGATCTAGTCCAAGGATTACAGGTCGGTAAAGACAACTTTCGATTATTTTATGAGAAAGAGAGGTTATATTTACTCGAATGAAGGTGAAATGCCCTAACCCCACCATCGAGTGAAGATGTACTGTTGACCTATTTTATCAAAAGACATTCGAAAAGCAAAAGCTGACTTAACAGTTTTTTTATCTGAATTTCAAAAATATAGGAAAATGTAATAAAATGTGTAACATACGCTAGGATGCTAGATGGCTTCTAGATTAATGGCTCTTAAATTAATAGAGAAGCTATTATTAAAATACAAATTTTCCAGGAGTTTGAAGACCGCAGCAAGCTAGACAGCGCTCATCCTTCATACTGGTCCAAGTACAATTACAACTCGAAGGATCTCGTCTGCTATGCGCTAGGAGGTAAGTTAAAAAATGGTAAAAAGATGGTTTGTAAATGCACATACCATTGTATTAAACATAATGAATAACAGAACCATAATTTAAATCTACACTAGCGCCACGTGTGCCTTTAAAATAGTTAGTGTTTTATTTATTTTTAGAACAAATTTATCAATCAAGTTGGACAGTATGTAATATATTTAAAAATTATTTATGCTACGCCCAAAATTTTGGATTCTTAGCAGCAGCCATGGTCAGAGTAAGATGTCTCTCCGTGACCGTTAGAGTGTTTTATTTAAAGATGACATAATTAGTAAATGTTGGTCTTCATTCCAGTGGGCGCCTCGGTCGTCAATCCCTCTGACTTGAAGTTCTTGTATGAGAGCCACGAGGAATTCACAGCTCTGCCCACATTCTTCATCCTGCCTGGTATGAGCATGGAGTCGCCTGTTGTCGGCAACGCCATGCCCAAGGGAAAATACGCTGATTTCACAAATGTAAGATTTTTTTTCAAAAATGGAGGAGGACAGACAAGCTTGGGGTCCACTTGATGGTAGGTGAAGTACCCCATAGCATCTAAACAAGATGCGCTGTCGACCTATGGCTTTGGATATTCGGAACAGAATGAAACCGAAGCGGAATTTTGATATTCCTACCACCCCTTTAATATCCAGATTTCCAGACGAAGTCCAACTTGTTTAATGTATAAATGCTCTTAGACACTGTTTTATATATAAACTTAATTTTCTCACCGTACTTATAGAATTTTGCGGGTTTATTTCAAAGTAATTTGTTGCCTGTTATAATTGTGAAATGACTTGTTTCAGAGCGAATATATTTTTGGTTTTAAGTTTTCATTGTATCATGCAATAAATAATGCAGTCAATTATTTACACTGTAAATACTCTCTGTAGTTTACGCGAGCAGTACACATATAAATAAACCACTTTAACGGTTTAAAACGCGATATATTTGTTAAACTAATTTGAAAATGATTTTTAACTTCGGCCCGACGTTTCGGATGCAGCCGTGGTCAGGGGGAGCAACCGAAACGTCGGGTTGTAAAGCGTTAAAGTGTTTTATTAAAGTATTTAACTAAATTTACAGATTTTGCATGGCGAGCAATATATTGAAATTATTGGTGATTTCCCGGGCACTGAGGGCGAATTCACAACTCGTAACTACGTAGTCGATATGCTGGACAAGGGTTCTAGTGCTATCGCCATTGTTAACAGTAAGTTGTAATATCATCATTAAACTGAAAAAAAATTCGACTCGGGCAGGACTTGAACGGGCATGCTGTTGCTCTCCAATTGAGCTACCGAGTCCTACGGAACGCTGACGATACCGATTCAAGTCCTGCACGAGTCGAAATTTTTTTCAGTTTGTTTTCGATTTTTAAATTATATAGTGCTTTCATGTGCAATAACATGTAAAAAAATAATAAAGTTTTCAAATATCATCATTGTATTAAGTCATCTTTAGTTTAATATATCATTCAGTGTCTTAATGTCATAAATAATAATATAATTCATAGTCTTAGTCAATTTCATAGTCTAAAAATGTTAATCGACAAGAACATAGTGACCAAAAATTGTTAACATAATTACACAAATAATAGTAGAAATATATTTTCGCCTAAGTTAGTAGTTTATTCTCCTCCTTATTGAAATTTGTTGGTTATTAGGCCACTGCTAGAGGCAGAGTGGCCTAATAACAAAACAGCCGTATTTTATACTTGAACACAAAGCATCCTTTTACCAATATTACTCATATTAATATCACTTTGCCCATATTTATAGGTGAGGTATACCAAGACAAAGAGCTGCTGATTCGCACACAACAGCACATCTTCGTAGTTGGTCAGGGAGGCTTTAATGGACCACGCAGCAGTGATAAAGCAGTTGGTGTATTGCCACCACCAAAGCGTTCTCCTGACGCGGTAGTGGAACAACGCACTGCGGAAGATCAAGCGGCTTTGTACAGGTTAATTATGTTATAGTTAAATACTCCATTTAAATAAAACAACTTTAACGGTTTAAAACACGCTATATATTAGTTAAACTTAATTTAACGACGTTTCTCCAGCCGTGGTCACGCGTGCTGTTAAGTATCCGAAACTTTGACTAATATATATTGCGTTTAAAACAGTTAGTGTTTTATTTAATTATGATATTGTTACTGGCCAAATACTTATAATAAATTTAACAATGAAGGTAGATAGTAGGTGATATATTTAAATAAATTATATGTTTCTAGGTTGTCTGGAGATTTGAACCCCTTACACATTGATCCCAACGTGGCTGTAGCAAGTGGTCACCCCAAACCCATCCTGCATGGACTTGCATCTCTCGGCTTCTCTGTCAGACATGTTATAGCCAAGTAAGTTTCATCATAAAGACTTACACATTTAATATATATGGATATATATTTAACAATTATTAAATATTTTATTTGCTCAGATACGCAGGCAACGAACCTAAAAACGTAAAAGCAATTAAGGCGAGGTTTGCTAAGCCAGTTCTGCCTGGTCAGACTCTGGTTACCGAGATGTGGCTCGAAGGCAACCGAGTACACTTCCAGACTAAACTCAAGGAGACAGGAAACATAGTTATTGCTGGTAAGTAAATAGTGAAATGCATTAAAAATATTTTCAGGATTAGGAGGACAGACGAGTATGGGATTCACTAGATGGAATGTGAAATACCCCAGCCAAATAACATCTAACACGATGCACTGTCGACCTATTTTAGCTTTTGCTGTCCGAAAACCCTTTTACATTTGTGGACAATGGTTCGTGACCTAGACGAAATTTTCGATGTCTGCCACTCAATGTCCAGATTTCCAGAAAGAATCCAACATTTTTCAAAAAAATATAAATTGATTACATGCTAGACCCAATGGATATCAAACCGGCAACTCGTTGCTTATTAGCCATGCATTGATACCATTACACCAATGAGCCCAACATTGAGTATATACTTTTAAAAAGTTTATACTCAATGGCAGAAAAAAATAAAGTTGCACTAAAGAAATAAAGTATTCTCATAGTTAGTGTGCATTGCACTTTATTTTTAATACTTGTATAGTTTGTTGTTATTCTATAAAATATCTGTAAAACTGGAAATGTTATTAACATCACTAAAATCACCACATAATAATTGAAAATCAACATAAATTATGTATATCAAATTAAATTTTATGACATTTTCAGGTGCGTATGTGGACTTGAAGGCAGTGGTTAAAGCTGGTGCAAGTTCTGCTCCATCACAACAGACATCATCATCTGTTGACTTGAAGAGTGATTCACTATTTGCTAAGATACAAGAAGGAATCAAAGAGAATCCAGATAAAGCTAAGAGTGTTGGTGCTGTTTATCTGTACAATATAACAAATAATGGCAAGACGGTTAAACAGTGGAGTAAGTATTAATTATAAAACAAGAGTTTTGCTTAAATTCTTTACAAATCAAGTATTTATTTAACTGTAGAGTTTAAATCAAATCTTTTACCTCTAGGCCTTACATTGATTTCAAAGTATGTAATTGTATTACATTGTGCTAAAAGAAGTAATGTTATTTTACAGCTCTAGATTTAAAATCTAGCATTAGTGTGTACCAGGGCGAACCTAAAACAGGTAAAGCAGATACAACACTGACATTATCAGACGATGACATGATTGAAATTGCCGCAGGCACATTGAGTCCACAAGTTGCTTACTTGAAGGGCAAGATCAAGATATCTGGAAATATTATGCTCGCCCAAAAACTAGGACCCCTACTTAAGAGTGGTGCTAAGTTGTAAATAATGACTGATTTTTAATATATGGGATTAACACATACATTTCATTATAACTATAAAAGGCAATAACGTTATTAATAAGAAAATGTTAATTATTGACATGTTATGTATTTTTTTAATCATTCCAAGGTATGTTAGGTGAGGGAATAAAAGTTTATGGTTTTTATAACATGGGTTTTATTTTCCCTTTTAAAACTAAATCAGCTTCTGTTACTTCATATTCCCAAGCTGATTTCATTGCTGGTTGTTGGCTTAAATCTATAAATTTAGTTGCTTCTATTTCTGGCAGTCCTTTTGTTTTAACAGCAACTCCGATAATACAGCAGTATGTACCTATTACAATCACACATAGATTAATAGAACAGTTTTAATATTTGGAACTAACATGTAAATAAATCTTCCTTTGGCCAAACCTTTTTTCAACGAACTTCTATCGATTACTCCATCAGCCGCCTCGCATTTAACTATTTTAGCACGTCCTGTCGTGTCCGATATAATTAATATTACAACATCATTTCCAACCGCTTGTTCGATAGTACCCTGGACCCAGACATCTAAGGGTGCTGGTTTATTCACAAGATCTTTAATGAAAATCTTTTTTGGGTTCACAGCCATTGCAAAAGCCAAATCATTCTTGAATATTCAAATCTTTTCATACATTCAAAATAGGTGATTGTTTTAAATTTTTTATTAAACCAAACCAATTGTATAAAAAGTAACAATCATAACAACAAAGATTTAAAGTTGACGGCGACTGTCGTATACATTGCTCCGATATGACAGTTGTTACGATGACAATTGACATATAAGACAAAGAACCGCTTTAATCTGTGACCTTGAATATAACCTAACGAGAAAAATGAAATAATGTTAATTGCCAAGATTCAGACCATGCACACAGAAATATTCAATGTTAAAATTTTGAAATATAATTTGCAATAAATATATTTATACGGGTTATTTTTTTTAATAGTAAATTTAGTAGTAAAATAAAAAAGTATAGCGTTTGTTAAGACTGTTTGTCTAACATCACGAATCTATTCCGACTGAATAATTTACAATAAATAGATGTTCTTAAAATTATAATGTATTGGCAATCCAAGACTCTCATAATTTTGATATAGGAAATTATAAAACTGTCAATTAAGAGAACGCACAGTAATGGCCAATAAATATCCAGCTATAAAAATGTTCCGCTGTATAAATTGATCGCATATTAAAAATACAGATACACGGCACCAAGCATTCAGCACACAATTCCGAAGTTTATGAAGCGATGCCGTAAGCATGAAATCACTACAATATTAAAGCTTCGCCGTAACAACTCAATCAACGCAATTTTAAAATAAACGTTTTTTATACAATACACGTACGCACACAGGCGAGGCGGCCGAACAAAAAATATGGGCCGGCGAAGGCCTCTATAATGACTTTCTCGAGAACTTGTTACAATATACAACTCGTGTATACGGGAACAACTTTCCTATGCAGTCAGAGCTTATACATTAAGTTTGAGTCGTATATATGTACTGTTAATTTATATTAAAAGGAAAGAGAAAAACTGAGGAAAAATAATCTTATTATGTTTTGAAGTCTTTTCACCTTCTATCGGATTAATTTGATGGAATTTAATATCGGTATTTATTTATTTTATCAAAAAACCATGTGGATATTAATTTCATTTCAACGATGTTTGTTCTCAATGTATAATTTGGGTCTAAAAGAGGAAACGAGTACCTAAGTACTTGGTATTTCCTGGTTCGAAACGCTACCATTGAGTTACCCAGTCGATGGACCATCAATCTTCGTCCAATCCGTACATCATAGCTGAAGACAATCTTGCTGTACGCAGACCGGTCGCTTCGCTCTAATAAAAGTAAATAAAAACAAGACAAGTCTATTTCGTATAGAGCTGTCGTACAGAGGTACTAAAAACAGAGAAATCTAAAAAGTTCTAAAATATATTGAATTCGATTTAATATAGACAAAAGGCTACGTTATGTTACGTACGTTAATGGGGAAGAAAACCTTTTTATATCAATTTATGTTTTTATGCTCCGTCACTGCGTGAACTTTATGCTTGCTAGAAGGCGAAAAATGTGACAAGTAGTAGTGACTTTTACTATAATACGAATTACTTGACTTGACTATAATACAAATTAGCAGAATTTTTACATTGCATCGTTCGTGTGACTAACTTTTAATCGCTTCTGTGCCTCGTAAGTAAAAAAAAACAGGTACGTCTCTGTAACCCAGCATCTCTGTGTTAAGCTTAACCGAGAGTTGAGAGCAGGGTAGGGACGGGAAGACATTGGGGCTGTCATCTGGCCGTGTAGTGTAGTCGCCGTACACAACTTAATCGAAGGCGCGCGCGCCGGTCGGTATAACGTATCGCATCGCGTGATACACTAACGCACTCGTTATCAATTAAACCCACCTTAAAACCTAAATGTACACCGTGACGTTTCCCGTGATATATAAACAGTGATATTTTTGTGGAAGATTGTTAAATTAAAAACCAGGAGTTCGAGCCATGTGACTGAAGCGAAAGCGGATAAATAAAAGTACGTACATTTCTCTTATTTTAACTTTATTGTAATGATTCTTATAAATAGAACGACGAGTCTCGCATTCCGTGAGCTAATAAAATAAGATTTATAAAAGTCTGTTAGATGAAGTTTGTATATTCCCGCGGTTTTACGTATTGTGAATTTTTTAATGTAAATACAGAATAAAAAAGGTCAATTTCACATTCATGAATAACTATACCGCGTTAGACGTGCTGTTTAATTAGTTGGCAAACTACGAATGCATCACTAAACTTTTTAATTTACGTTAGTTTTGTGACAAAATGTGTGTGTTTGAAACTTTACTTGAAGGTTAACACTAGGTCTGCAGTCTGCACCAATCCTTTCGTAGTAATAGTAGTATGACAATAGTAAATAATATAAATAGGTAAGTAAGTAGATAACTTTGGAACTATTGTGTTTATTATACATGTGACCTTAAACATTTTTTTAGTCTATTCTTTTTTGTCTAGTCCAATGTTTATTAAAATTACAAAGTTCTGCTTTACTTAGTGATTATTAAAAAAAAACTTCTATATAAAAAGTCTAATTTTTTCACCATACTACAGCTGAAAATGTTAATAAGGACTTTTAATGGAATAGAAATTACTAAATTTAATGGAAAAGCCAACTTTTTATCAAATAACACAACTCAACAAAAATATTTCTGATCCTTATTGACGCGCTATAGTGGCTCAACTACAAGTACCTATATTGTTTAACATATTATCATTTTGATTAATACAATATGTATGTAGTATTGCTTCACTTTTCCATGTCCTTAGCTGTAATGCAAACGTGATGTGAAATAATGCGATGGGCTATTAACAACTTGACGTAAATGATAAATCAAACGATCTCAAATACTGTTTACATTGTATGAATTTGTAACAACCGTAAAATTTTAAATATACGGGCGAAAGACTTTAGTTTCAAAAGGAAATAGACCGGCTTGCAACTACAAAAGGTCAGAGATCGTAAACTCACTTATCTAGGGACTTTAAGTTATAACGATTCATAACTACAATTTACTCACTGTGGCTCTATATAAACTGTATTATCTTTGATTCAAAAATATTTATTACTAAGGAATAACGAAAAAGGCAAAGATAGTTAAAGACACAACGTTTCGAACTGTTGTTTCACTAATTTATTGGTATTGTAGCAGCATCACGACTTGGTTTAGGTTCGAGTCCAGTTTAACAAAAAAATTTATCCGATTATCCATTGCAATAATATTAGCGAATCAAAATTATTAAAAAGTATGAAAATAACAGCGTTTCAACAACTAAATAATTGAACTCTCTTATTGCTTAGGCTTCTTTTCGATATCAGTACTTATTGCTTTGTTGATTTTATCATTGGCGTGACGTCTTTCATAAGTTACACGCAAAAACAAATGGTAACGACATCTCTGTATGGTAAGTGTATGCTGACATCCATGTTAGTAGCCATAAACAGTACTCAACGGCGCCCGTTGATTTATTGCGGCACGATGCTCATAATATTGTTTAACGTATCTACCTGGAGAACGGTACTGGCAGGAAAGAGGCTGGAAAAGGTGAAGTATAATAATGAAATTTGTTATGACACGGGTAGGAATTGAACCTAAAGCTGCTGCGATAGCAGTTTAAACGCGATTTATATAATTTAATTCGTTTTAAACCGAATTCGCTGTAATCGAGCTGTGGTCACAAAGGGGCTGCTGTGAAGCATCCAAAACGTCGTAGTTAAAAATTAGTATACTAATTTAGTTCGAGTGTTTAACCGTGAAAATTTGTTTTGTTTAATAACTGCCGATCGGTATAGATTAACATAATTACTATGGTACACGTAGAGCCGTAGACTAGAAGGTCAAGAGTAATGAGCGTTCCAAATTCAAATATTCGAATGTCGAAATCGAATTTCGCGAAACGACTGTTGAGCGGAAAATTATTCAAATGACCGCTCGGTTTCCGAGAAACGTCGTTACGAAAATATACCATAACTAGTTCGTTATTCTTAAACTTGTTTGACTAACGTTCTGTTCTAGTCTAATGCAGGCATGTTAAGTAATCGGATAGGCCTCATCCCATGTGTGTAATCTCTGTTTGCTCAATTAACTGTGGAGTGTCCTCAACGATATTAAATTACACGACATCTTGCCTACTCAGCTATTTTGTAAGCCTTACAATGTTTACTTAAGGTTTTTGTTTTTAATTCAGAGCGTCGTATTATTTCCGGTCGGAATATACTTAACTAATAACATAGACTATACGTAAATTATAACATAGACAAATTAGAATTCTTCACGATTTTAACCAAATGAAGAAACGGTATACAATGCCATCAGAATACCGTTTAGATTATATACCTGTTAAAAAATATGCTTACGTGATTACGTTATAAGAAACAATGTATAGAAGTATCGACGCTGCTCTGGAGGGCAATAATTTTAGACATAAGTCGCCAATTACGCCACATATTTATATTTCCTAAAACTTTGTAAGTCGCTTACAAAAGTCTACGAGAATCTTTTCTCACTTCTTTGAGAATAGCTCCCCTGGCAAGACGCCTTTTCGTTTAGCAATTCTAATAATGTCACGTATCTTAACAGTTTCTGTATACGGCATTACGATCGTACAATGGTATAAATTAATCGGATTTATGAGGTGTCACGGCGGTACGAGAAACCAACCAATTGTACTTTTTACGGCCAATTTGACGGGGCTCAAGCAAATCTGATTGTGTTATTTTTGGCCACTGTTTGGGCTTAAGGCACGCTTGTGTTACCCTTTTCCTGTTTACTGCTGCTTTTAATAATATTCTGAATGTAATGATTATAAAATAATACGAAATACGATCAACATCGTCTGCGAAAACGACTTCCACCAGCATAAAATCAGTAAGTAATCTTGTTAAAAAATACAGACTGCATACAATGGTCCTTTTTATATATCCACATGTTTAATAATCTATAGTTGTTTTAATGTTTTTTACGTTATTCACCGTCGCTGTTAAAGAAACATTTTAATCCTAATCTATAGTATTTATCTAGAAACAGCAAAG